TAAAAGAGATATGGAAGATATGAAAAAAAGATGCTGTGGATTTGAAAATGGACTTAAAAATATTTGACTACAAGAGTGACATGGAAGAAGAAATTGTAATGGATATACAAACTATGCTGGCTGATGTTTTAACAATTAAAAGGGATATCCTGATTATAAATCAAAAGAGTGACTTGAAGAGTTATCTTATTGTGGATCCACAGAAGGGAAGTACTAAATCTCTGAAGTTGCTACTGAAAACAGGGAGAAAATGATAAGAAATCATTATGTGGGACTTTATTTGAAGAAGCGACTAAAGATTAAACTTCTTAAGAAGAAGAAAAAGGAGTTCAAAGTGGAGTTATTTGACCAGGATTAAATTGTATATATTTTGATTTTGGGTTGTTATTACTGGAATCTTTATTTTGACCAGGATTGCAAGATGATGTAAAGATTTTTTTCATATGGGGATAAATCTTTTACCTCCTACTTGTTAGAGAAAGTTATGGGTTAGAATGTAAAAGGGACCTATTGGATCTACTTTAAAATCTATATGTTACCATTATTGATATTCTTTATATCTAAGGGGATAAATCTTTTGTGTGTTACTTATTAGAGAAAGTTTTAAGTCAAAATGCAAAATAGATTTGTCTAAGCTTAAAACATATAGGTTACTACTACTGGTACTCTTAATGCTTTTGCTAAGTAAGACTAATGAATCTTTCTATCATTTGGTTATTATTTAGTGATGAGAAATGGGAAGAAGATTTTTTTTTTTTAAGTTTTGTAATATTAGAGGAGGTGTTAAGTTACTGTAAATGCTTATACTTGTTTGAAGGGAGGGAGGAGTCACTTTTTATATGTCTTTTTTCTTTTTCTTTCTCTGGTTCTCTTTTTTGTTTGTAAGATATCTTTTCTAATTCTGTATTAGCTTTTAACTAATAATAAAATTATTATTAAAAAAGATGATGACATATGTCACATTAGAGAAAGAGCATGTGAAGATACCTCTAATTTTGTGTGTGAAGTTGTTGGGGCCTGTGCTGATGCTGTTAGTGTAAATGTGGGGGCAAAGTGGATGCTAAGATTTGTTGCATGATCCGGTTCTCATTAGCATAATTGTTCTTTTGTGGGGGTTGCTTGTGAGAACCTGCTTCCGGTTTGGGTGGTTGTTTGTATGCAAGTATGGGCCTGCCATTCAGTGCCTGAAAAAGGATAGTGTCATAATTCAGTATAGGCTGTAGCTTATTAATAATGTATTTAAATAGCTTGAACTGTGAGCTGTATCTGACAACCAGTGACTGTTGTCATGTTTTTGTTGATTTGGTTCTATTGATATGTGTATTGATCTCTTTGGGTGGGTAGTTCAGTTCACAATTGTTCTGTAGATAGGTTGAGGCTAAAGTTGATGGTTGGGTGGAAATTGTTTAGTTCATGATGGAATTTGTTGAGAGATTTTTTCTGTGGGTCCAGATGATGAAAATATAATCAATGAATCTCAAGGAGATTCAGGGGGTAAGAACTGAGAAAGTATTGCTCTAGATCAGCCATGAAGATTTTGACATACTGTAGAGCCATGTGTGTGCCCATGACTGGGCCACTGATTTGCAGGTATATGTTTTTGCCAAAGATAAAAGGTGAAGTAGTTATGGTTGAATCATGCAGTCTAGTGGCAAAGGTGTGCTGTCTTAATATTAGTGATGGTGTTCATGATGGCTGGAACTCCATGTTTGTAGGAGAAGTTATTGTATAATGCCTCAATATCCATGGTGGCTAAAATGGTATTGTTAGGGAGATTGTTGATGGATTTTAGTCTTCTTAGGAAGTCTTTTATGTAATGTATCTTATATAACTGGAAGTGCTGGTGGCATAATGTCTAAGTACAGACTCCATGAGATGTGATATTCTGATGCTTGAGACAATAGAATGGCCCAGGTTGCCTTCCTTGTGTATTTTGAGAAGTGGGTAGAAGGTGCCAAGCTAGGATTCCTGAGGTGTTTCATCACTCCTTGCATCTGATGAAGTAAGGTATAGCTCACAAAAACTTATGCCTTTTAATAAAATTTATTAGTCTGAAAATGTGGTACCTTTTCTGATTTTCCACTCTTTAATATTAAGACATGCTTGAAGACTCTTGAAGAATATTGGCTAAATTTCATATACATCAGACAAATATGAAAAATACTGGTTATATGACAAAGAATATGGTGTTGGCTCTTCAGTTTGGCAAAATTAGGTTTGTATTACATACTTTTTACCTACAAGGTTAATGGGATGTTTGAACCATTCAAACAGATTAACCTACTTTACAAGTCATGATGTTAAAATGAGGAATTTTATATATTAATTTGAAGGTAGTGTGGAGGAAAGAAACATTGAAAAGAAATAATTAAATCTTGCAGTTAAAACAATATTAAATTATGAAGCATTTTGCATAGGAATGACTTACCAAAATGTTGTCCTATCTTATATATATTTCTTTTGTTATTTTGGGACTTACTTGAGATGCACATTTTTGTATATTTCTTTTTTAATAGTGTGGCCTACAAACACACCCAATGTTCGTCGGACCAAAAGAATACGTATTAAACCATTGGAATATTGGCGAGGAGAACGTGTTGATTATAAAACAAGAGCTTCAGGTGTGTAATTCAGGGGTTTTGAATGGGGGAGCTGCCATTATTTGTGATGAAATAATTTGTTTAGAAATGCAAACTGATGAATCTAAAAGGCAGGCATATACTTTGAACCTACAAACACATACTGCACAGAAATTCAATTAAGATCTCCAAATTTCTTCTTAATACATTCTTCTGAAATTCATATATCTCTTAATCCCTATTATACAAAAATCCAACATTGCCTGCAGATGGAAGCTACTTGGTAAACATATATGTATGTATACATATATACTAGTTAATCATAGATTCCATTGTTTCATATAGTAATGCAGTTCTTTCTTCCCTAACTAACTTTGTTAGTTTCCCGAGTCATCGTACCCCATATGGACCACCAGTCCATCATCTGACATCTGACAGATGTCTTTTCTGACATCTGAATGCTTTCTTTCCCCCTTCCTGCTTTTCCCACCTTTGCTAACCCCATGTTGGTTCTCCCTGCCTCCCATAGCAGATCACCCTCTAGGTCATCTTTTATCCTCCAGACCATTTTAGGACCATCCCATTGCAATACCCAACAGCTTTCCAAATAGCAATACTCCCCCCTCCCCCATTTCTCTGTTTCTTCTTTCAGTTGGGATTTGGTAGACTTATTGGAAACATCAGTGCCCCAGATTATAGTTGCCCCATGTGGTTCCCTTTTTGAAGAGTGCTTTGGGACCACATGGAGACCAAGGACAACTGAGAGAGAGGAGTAAAGAGATTCAGTGTCTGTAGCTGTGGCTACAATAATGAAAAAACGTGGGCAAAACAGAAGGCCTTGATTGGTAGCAAATGCCCAAAAGCAGTATCGTGTCTGTGGACATAGTATTACCAAACCCTATTGTAATATACATTAATTAATAGCATTCACATAGATCTGCTTATTTTGTTAGTACTTGTTCTGTTTTTAAGAGGTACTTGCCTCCTATAACCTTCCAAATAATTTCCTGTGGCTTTTAAAATGTGACTAGAAGGATTCTGATTTCGTTTTAATGTTTTTTTGAAAAAATTAGAACCCAGAATTGTCTGGCTAGCAATGAAATCCCATGAGACAGTTTGCTGAAAGCACAAAGATTTCTACTGCAGAGCAGCAATTAAGAAGTGGAATCATTTTATTAG